GCTTGTGTGAAATACTTAATTTTTTAAAGTATTTTGTGAAAACTTTTTTTTTTGGGTTTTTGCAGAGTCTGTGTCCGTTCCCGTTGTTGGGATGCATGTATGGTTGTAGATGGAGGAACATCTTTTGAGTTCAATGATGGGGCGATAGCTTCAATAATGATCGATACAGAGGATGCACTATGCACTGTTCTGCTGGAAGAATGAAGGTCCCTAGTGTTTTCTGCTGAAACAATTCTGGATCCAGACAGAGAACTCCTGGAGATAGACAGCATATCACGGTGCTGCACTATGTTGGAAGATGGCCTTTTTGGACGCAAGAACATTTGGAGGAAGCTTGGGATGCTTTTCATTCCTTTGGGTTGGAGAAACCTTAGCCTGATATTTAAGCTCTTTTTGTATGTGGTGTGAAAGAAATATGTGTGAAGTCTTACCTCTAACTTCAGTGAAAATTGACATTTTAACCTGTAAGGCAAACATGAAAGAACATCTTTTTAGACACAGGTAAATGGGTTCAAGTGTAAAGTCAGTAGCATTAAATATTCAGATGTACAGTTTTTTAGTAACAGTCTGGGACTGATGAAACTAAACACCTTCATACATACACTTTTGTAGAAAAGTAGACTGTCAATCTAGCAATTTGATGCAAGGATATGTAGATTTTGGTAAATCCTGATGTTGATGTAATAGAAATGGAAATACAAACCTTTTATATGCTTTTCAAAAATTTTACAACTTTGTAGTTTCATACAACTTGTGACAATTTTTTTTTGCTCTTCCAGTATTTTTTCTACTTTGTAAATTTACATCAAAAGTAGAAGTCTGGTTTAATCACATCTTGAATGAGGTAGCTCTTGCCTTTTCTCTAGTGAGAGATGTGAAACCCAAGGGTTTTCTTAGCCCTTTAACAGGAATACACAAACTATAAGAAACATGTTGAAGTAAGATATACTCCTTCACTGAATGGATTAGCTGTCTAGCAGGTGTTCAGTCACAGTAGTGTATGTAGGTGGTTATCATTAAGAAAGATACTTGGCCATCTTAAGTTGAATTGTTTGGAATTTTAGGTTCTGAATTTCTTTATAATTGAAGAAGAATAAGATATGCTGGGTGCTAGTAGTTGGAGCACAAGTTAATACCTATATCTCTCCCAGTTTTCCAAGTGTGCATTTCAAACTTCCCAAGAAGGTTTACATTTCCAATGCTATGCTGAATTCTACTGATACTTAATTGGCAATAAATTAATTTTAATTTTATGTGCTGCTGATCACGTGTTAGGTAAGTTAGCAAGTTGATAATAGTAAAAAAGCTCTGCTTATACAAGAGGAAGTGACTTTTTAGGTGTTTTAACAAAACTGTGAACTATGACTGCCTTTGAAAGTCTGTGCTGATAATAGCATAGATGAGGGGGCAGAATTTGACAAAATGAAGATTCCTGCAGCAGGAACTCTTCTGCTACATGACTTGAAACAAATTAGTTCTGTTCCATCTACAACAAATTTCCAAAAGTGAGTTTTCTTCAAAATACTTTTGCATGAAGAGACTTCTGTAGCAGATGTTATCAGGTCTAATGGAAATGTTCTCCAGTGTGGCAAATCAGTGTATCTGTTGCCAATCACAAAACGTAAACTGATCTTTACAGGTGGAGGAAGGGGATAAAGGATTTTTTCCTTCTACTACTTTAGTGTTTGTGTTCACTCTAATCAATTTAGACAAAATTGATTTGACCAGACCATTCAGTTCTCAGAAAGTGGGATACTGATGGAGGTTTTTGAGTAAGCTATCAGTGTTTGTGTACATTTCACTTTAAGTGTGCTGCAGAATGAGTTACTTACAGCTTCTGCTTGAGTTATCACAATTGCAGACCAGAAGAGGAGAATCAAAGTATCCAAATACTTGTTCAAAACTTGCTAAGTTCAGGAACTATCAGAATAAAGCTTTTAATGTCTAAAATAATCTGTAAAACTAAAGGTAAAGATGCAAAAAGACTAATCTTTCTTTATAAAGTTGGCTGCTCAGAGAGTTACTCCTAAACCATCTGTAACTAGTTAAGGATGGTTTATGTGCCTCTGTCTAGTACACTAGTCAGTATGCTGTTAAGATCCAAAAAACACACCAATGCCATTAACACTAATTTATGACTTCCTAAAACTTCACCACTGTGTTAGATCAGAGGTTTAGGTATTGAAAGTGTCCTTGAATTACCTGCATAGGTAAATTTACAGCAGAAACCCTGTCTCCTACTTACAAGACATTTCTGTGCTGTAATGAATGTTGTAATGGAGACTGATTAGTCTGACCAGGGTGGACACCTCTTAAAGATGCCTGTCGTTCTGTATTATCAATGCTGAGACCAAAAGGCAATGTTTTCAGGCCCTATACACCCAAAGTATGATCTGGTTTAGGGCTTACTAAGATTTCCCAGTAAAATTCTTAACTTAGCAAAATGGAAACCCAGCCTACTCATGAGTGGCCTCTACTGGTTTTGTCTATACTTAATTGCACTTCTGTTGAAGCATTTACTGGTGAATGGTTGATTTAAATAACTAGGATAATTCAGAGATCTATAATAGATAATCAGTAAGCAGCTACCTTTTTTTATTAAAGAATTGTAGAATCCTTTTTAAGCATCCTTTGTTACAAAGGATTGCAGTACAGACAACTTACCTGGTAGACAGTATTCCATGACAGGACTGAGTATTGGTTTAACACTGATTTAATCTGCCTGGACTGGCAGTGAACTCTGCAGCTTTTCTACCTGCTGAATCAAATCCATGGTTTTTTCATTCAGTGCCAGTCCACACTGTGTTCTGCTAAACTAGACCTGTCATTCTTGGCTTTTTTTAAAAAAGTGGTGTTTATACATTATGTAATAAAAATTAAAAACTTAATAGGTGCATGAAGCTGTCCTGTGCCTTATTTCAATTTTCAAGTGTTTCATGTGCTCAGCATCTACTCATTTACCATGCAGTTTGTTTTAAATAATAGTTTGTAAGCCTTTACACTTTGAAGTAAAATGAAGAGACTTATCTATGTAGCAGGTTTTGGTATGGATTGCTTGGAGCTACCAAGTAACTTTTTCCAGTTAGGTGCACCTTACCTAGAGGACTTCCATTATGTGCCTGCTACAGCTGCCATTATAACCAATAGATCTGCAATAAAATGGTTGTCCTCTTGTAACACTGAACCTGTTACTTAAAAAACCCCACAAGTTCAAGACAATTCTTTCTGGCTAAAGCCATACTACTACCCAAATTCTCTATGGGGTTTTAGAGCACAGTCTATTAAATGCTAAATGTATTGGTGACAACACCCTGTCCTCTAAACCACCGTTGTTTAGACATTGCTTGGACAAATGTCTCTTTTTTAAACTCATGACACAAAGTTGGTGGCAAGTCAGGGAAAGTGTTCACCCATCCATCAGTCATTGTGTACAGTCTAGCAATTCCTTAGATCTTTATTAAATGCAAGAGAATTTGTATGGGGTTACATTATGCATAGGGAGAAGAATTTACAATACTGTTGCACTACAAAGATTTAGGTTTTTTCTTGGAAGTAATTTAAGGCATAAACCTAAGGCTGCAAACCGTGAAGCAGTAGAATATCCAGTATCCTACAACCTCCCATCACTTCTCCATTCCAGCTTTCACAAGGTATGTTGCCCATTCACTCCTTCATAAGGGGTACAAGCCCATAAGTGACTCCAGTGTTACTTACACTTAAATTTAATGAAAAAACAAACCAACTTAGAACAAAATAACAAGATAATGCTGTATTTGCTATACTATAGAAAGACCAAGTTAAATCTCAGTTTCTCAACTAACACTTATAACTGCTGGAACATTACAGGCTTATGCATGAGGACCTTGACAATAGACCCAGATAAGAGTTTTTTTAAAATTAATTACGTGTCCCTGTCCTTAGTTTGGTGGTGTTACAAACAACCAACACTAGTGGTTAGAGTTACCAATACAGGAAGTGAGATGATACTATAGACATAAGCTATTATAAAAGAGAAATTGATGTCTTAAGATAGCACCAAAGCATGTCTTCCTTTCAGCGCTTTGTACTGGAGTCCCAGGTTTTGGTTCAAGATCTAGAACCATTTGAGCCCTCCTCCTGCAAGACTTCTGCCAATTTATCAGTTGCAGCTGAAAGATGTTATTTAAAGGAATTGAGAACATTGTAAAGAAGTTTTATCTGAGATAAAGCTCACAGAAGCTACATTAAGGTTCTGTGATATTTAATCAGAAAACATAGCACCACAACCTCGAACAATTGATAACTAGCATCTGCTTTTACAAATGCTTATTCTGAATGGGCTTTTCAGACTATATTTTGTTAACAATGAAGAATACTAAACAGAGATGTTGCCTTTGTGGCCTGCTAAAGAAAAACTTCACTGTAGCTCCTTTATACTGCTGCTTAACTTGTACAATATTGAGCTACCTCTTAACTGCTTTTGTTTAGACATCCTTTTCCCTATTTACTGTTTTCAGGTTTGGTAGATTCAGAATCAGTCCTCTCTCCCTCTAATAGCCAGTAGCTTCTCATCTTACTGTAGATCTTGTTCAGCTGAGGATTTGAATAGGTTTTATACCATTATTCATTTTGAGTTCTGCAAACACACATGAAAATTTCTTAATAAGATACCTACCAACTCTACAAGCTGTTTCAGGAGCTGTAGAGCTGGAAGAGTTAACCAAAAGCACCTTTAGAACACCTTAGAGCAACAAAAGCTGCATCATAACCTGATAGAGGCTGACATTCTTTAATTACAATTATTAAAAAAATGCTCCCCTGGAAAAAAATTCTGCAATTGCTCACACATCAGGTTTCTAAAGGTTTTAAGTAAAAAAATATGAAACTTCATTAAGGCATAAGACCAAATTAGAATGCTTTTTACAGTAACAGTACTATGATTAAAGGTGCTCCAGCACTGTGCTTCTTAAGGAGCTTCACAACACAGAGTGTATCCATCACATCCAGTGCATTGTATATGATCATAGGCCAGTAGGATTACACAGCGTCAATCTGCATTTGATACCCCAAATCTCACAGTTCATTTTACTGCTAGCAGTTGGCCTTGCAATAGTTGTAAGGGGTATACTATTGATCATCACATTAGGAAATGTTTCCCTGAGGACCTGTAGGGCGCCATCAGTCACTATTCCAAATACCTGAAGAGTCTTTAATGTTGGAATTTCACCAAGTTCTCTAAAAAAGAAAAATACAAAATTAATTGTAAACCTGAAAAGATATTTTTTCCAGTTTGTACCCAAACAATATAACTGCATTTCTATGAATTGTTTTGAAGTAGGGTAACTATTTAGTCTAAATCCTCCTTCCTACTTTTTAAAAACACATGTTTAATTGAAACTAGTTCTCTGCACTGATAATTCAGGAAACCTGCTAAATAAATTGCTTCTTGCTGTTCTCTTTCACACACAGAGTGAAAACAAACTAGTTCTTCCCCTGTCATTTCCCTCGACTTAACTAGGAAAAGTGGAAGAAATTGTGCCAGATGAAGTTTCAGGATGTAGCTTAGAGGGCAAAAGCCCCTAGGTACTAGAGTCTCCAATTTGTTACAACTTTTTGGCAAATAGCCAGCCCTGGCTTCTTGATTGCTTCAGATTTGCCCAGTCATGGGAACTTTGTATCTAAAAGAAAGTATTGGACACAATTGGAAAGCAGATACACACAAGCTATCACCACAACTGCACACACTGCTACAAAAAAAGTTCTTCAGATTCCCATTTTGGTAGTCCTATTCCTCTCAACCTTTTTCTTGTTGATCATTTCCTTAGAACTGTCATCCTTCCCGAGATGATTAAGACTGATAGCTGCTATATCAATAAAAGGCAGGAAAAACCCACAAGCAAGTAACTCAGCCATGTTTCAGTGGCAACCAATAACTGGTACAGGTGCACACAAAAGCAAAGGAATATAAACAGATTGGCTAGTCAGCAAGCACTGTCAAGTCTTAACTTTTCCAAAGGACTATACCTTCCTTGCTGCATAATTGAAAGCCTAATATTAACACTGATACTGATCATTGGCAGGACTGGAACATTCAGCTGTACCTCACAGTAATGAGTACCAGTAGTGTAATGCCATTAAAGGAAGTCCGATGCATGCACTGAGCAGCAAGTTCCACAAGCACAGACTGACATTACAAAAAGATCTCAGACACCTTTCGTTTCAGTCTGGATTCTCAAAGGTGCATGCTCTAGCAGTCATGTTATTTTATCTCAGTTCCTTATTTCTAACTCCTCACACCAGTAAGTTTTTCAAAACAGTACTTGCAATTCTAAACCTAAAATAAAGCAAGCTTAAATTAACTTATCCTCTGCATGAATAGCAAACCAAAGCCAGTTAGAGATTACTTACAGTAAGGCACCAGGTGATATATGATAACATCGGCTAAGACACAGATGAGTTAGAAAGTTGAGTTGACGAATATACTGGAAGCACTCAGGCTTCAACATCATGCTGTCACTGTACATGAGAGCACATGAAATAGAGGTTTAAGTATAAAGCAGCAGTAAATTGGTTATTTCCAAATTTCAGTCTGAGAAGATTAATGAATTTCAACTTTTTTCTACCACTGAAGTATTTTTTTGTCAGTATGGAATTAACCCATTTCTAGTGTGTGTGTGTGTTGTCAGGGAGGGATTTTGGTTTTCACTGAAGGGCAAGTGAAACAGAAGCTTCTCTGCAGGCAGGTTTTTGGCACCAAGAACTCATGCCATGAAAAGGCAATTACTTTACACATCAAGATTTAAAAATATTTTAATTGGCTAATCAAAACCAAAATACACTTTTTTCCTCTTTACAGTTCTATGGCCAAGTAACAAATTTATGTCAGAGCTGAACTAAACCCCCTCTAGGATGCTAGGGTTATAAACTGTATGCATCTAAATGCTTCCTTCCACTCCACCTCTCTGCTACGATCACTTGTTAGTTAACAAATCCTGTATGTAAGTAACATTTATGCTGAAGTAACAAATAAATTAGTTACCTGCTCCAGATTAGGTCATGCCATTCAGTCAATCTTTTGTAGGTTTAGCATAGAAAGTATTTTCTGGCTGTGCAATCCAACACAATCATGCATTATTGCTATACAATTACTGCACTGCAACAGAACTAGCAATGCCCTGAACCACAAGGATTTAAGGACTAGCTGCATAGGTCTTCTTACCTTAGATCTAAATGGACGAGAAAAGGACATCTTTCCACCAGTGTTTTAACATCTGAAAAGAGGTCCCAGCGTCAGTTCATCTTTCAGTAACAAGACAAATGTGCTTTATACAGCCTAGTCATTTCCATATATGTTCATTTATATCTCCTCTACTGGAACCCCACATGAAACAAATTTTTGTTAAAATAATACACACTTAAGACTTGCAGCATATAGCCTGCCTATCAAGATACTTTACAGAGAGTTTTACTTAATCCTCAGCAAAACATCCATTTAGTCTGAAGAAGCATCCCTAGAAATCAGTTGCACCAGCAACTTAGCAAGTGGATAATTCAAATCTTATTACTGTAGAAATCTACCAAGACACAGAAATGGTGAGATGCCTGAAATCCTTACACATAGTGGAAAAAAATAACAAAAATTTTCCACACATCAAGTAACCTTTCAAGTTCTTTAGTCATTTCAATTTTTACTCACAGGAAGGTCTTTCCTCATGACAAAGTTATGGTTTTCCCAATTTAAACTAAGTCCTTGAGACCATCTTTTCATTGTCCGCAAATAGCATAGAATCACCTGTGGCTCAGATAGCACCTAAAAGACCACTATTATTAGCAAGGTGCTTATCAACATGCAAGAGGATTTTGTTATTTCAGAATTCACATGCAAAAACTAAAGAAAACAATACCTAAGTTATGATCATTAGGGAATTATTCAAATCTTATGCCTTATAAATTGCATTGAAACCAGAGTAAAATTACTCATAGAAAGTGTTTGGCAAACAGAACAGCTCTGCATACTGTTTCTAATGGTCAGATCAACAGAAAGTTTAAATTCCTGATTTGGAGGAGATTATGTAGCATGTTTATGGATTCTCCCAAGATAAAAAGACGACTGGTGTATTTCCCCACAAGAGAATGCATGCTGAGGTCTGTGTGACATTTAAACAAAAAAAAGAGAGGTCACCACCTGTGTCACCTACATGCTTGTCAGCCAATGCCCTGTTGTCACATTTGCTCACTGAGAAAGTTAATTTCTCAGAAAATGGGAACATGCTTCCAGGACTTACTTCAGAAGTAAGGGCTATACCTCTCAACTGAAGATGAAATAAGTTTCCACCTGACTGTTTTTAAATTCAAAAGACAAATCATCTCACCCCTCATGGCTGAGCCAGAGACATGAGTAAGAGTCTGCCAGCGAGAACATCAAGCTATACATACCACAAAAATGGTGCTAGTGCATGACTTCTATACACACAACAGATGCCAACATGAAGAAAATATAAACCCTGCTGCTTTACCCCATAATGGGATAAAGGTTTGCCATGCTGCTCTTTACCTGATACTTGTAGACTCTGTCTGTATCCACTTAAATTTAATTGGGTTACTTTTGAAGTAACATTATTGACTGCTGCTTTGACATGAGAGGCTGTGAAGTCACACCAAGACAAGTTCAGCTCCCCCAGCCTACACAAATGAAAAAAAAAATTGTTTGGAAGAATGACTGAAACAGTTTTGAGTTCTGATATTATTTATTACAGTTGATACTTTTAAGGCAAAAACTTGTAACACCTACCAGCTTCCTGTATTTGTGACTAAAAATTTTGCTATGACAATAATTAAGCACTGGCACAGGGTACCCAGTGAGGCTGTGGAATCAGTCTTTGGCAGTTTTCAAGATCTAATGAGAGAAAGTCCTCATCAACCTGACCAGTGCTGAATTTAGACCCTGCTCTGAGCAAAGGGTTAAAGTGACTTCCCAAGGCCACTTCCAACTGGCATGATTCAATAAGATCTTAGGAAATGAAACTGTTCACTCCAGGGACTGCCACAGGGAGACACTGTCTTTTCATCTTGCTTCTGGGTTTGTGACCTGAATCTGTTACTACTGAACAGATGTTCACATTGAGAGGAAAAAAGTCTATCCATTATTAGCATTGGTCAGATGACCAATTAATCCTAATTAGCATAAAATATTCCACAGTTTTATATAAGCATGAGCCATGCTGTGACCTTAACTCTCTTTACATGCTTGATTATCTATAGTCCATCACCATTTGGGGCTGGGATAGTTTTGTGTGCAGGTGTTGTAGATGTAACTAGAGGGCAATGGCACAGCACAACTAAAGCATTTAGCTGGCAATCTCTGTGTAAATGAAAAACAGTTAAATTGCCACTAGCATTCCTAGGATCAGGTTTGCCATCTGCTATTTGCTGTGCACTGTACAGACCACCATTCTCTAAAGAGCTCATGATCCAAGTAATCAGACCAAGCAATAGAAAGTATTATCTACCCACGAGAGGCAGAGACAGATTAAGGCTTTGTCTGTCCACTAACTTGCAGTTTGATTAAAAATGTTTTGGAGAAGCAAAGATTAAGTAGATTGTACAGTATCTCCCAGGAAGTCAGCAGAAAGATCAGGATATAAATTCCAGATTGACTGAGGCTCAGTTCAGCAACTGCCTGCCAACAGATGGTTTAATCACTGGAGCTGTCACTCTGAGCACAGTGCTTCCTGAAGGAGAAGGTTACTGAAGGATTATTCTATTGTGGATGGAATGGCACAATGTTTTCTGTCATTCATGCTGTACACTGATTGCAAAGGAAGCTCTGGGACTTAATTCTTCAATTTCAAAACACACTTTCACTTTGTGAGGATCACATACTGCTTTCATTAAGAAAATTAAATTTAAGTGGCAAAGGAACATAAATGGGGTTTACCCACCAACAAGACTTCAAGGATGAGTAAGGAAACTCATGAAAAACTACCAAAAATACATCTTTGAAAGAAGAAAATAGTTTGACGGAAAGAAACTATTTTGACTATTCAGCCAAATCAACTGTTAGGCATTTAGGAACAGAAGGAGACTCAAAAAGAGGTATTACAGACAAGTACAATTGGGATGTCTATGGTAAAAAAAAGGATCCATTTTCTCAGGAATATCAGTAAGAGCAAAAACTACTTTAGACTTACATAGAACAGCTGCTCAACATCAGCTCCAAGGCTTCTGCAGAAAACCCTGAGCACCCACAGAGATTTAGTCGTATCAAATTGGGATTCTTGGCAATGCTCCTGTAGAGAGGAAAAAAGAAAAGTCTGATAAAATTTAAATGTTGAACATACCTTGCATTCCTACAATGTGTGATTATTTAAGAGACAAGATCTTGGGCACAGAATTATTTGTTAAACCTGCAGCACTGCATCTTTAATAAACTGACCAATCTAAGAGTCACTAAAGATCTCAACTCTGTACTTGCTGCACCACAGCACAACTTCCAAAGCGATACTTGCCTATTTACCTGACATTCCTGACAAGTCTGCATATTTATAAACTGTTGTTTTTAAAAGGAAACAATCTGTTTTCATCTTCTCCTGTTGTATGCCATTAAACACACACCATGGCTTATTAGAGATGACTATACCTCTACAAAAGACAAAGCAATTATCCCATTCCTGAAGACAACCCTCTGCAACATGGACGTTATTCCCAAGCACATCCAAACAGCATCCCCCAAATGCATTTGTTTGCAAGACTAGAGCAGACATACAGTTGGCAAAACCTGGAAAAAGCCTTACAACCAGTTCTACATTAGCACACAAGGCAATAAAATGCCATCATTGGTGCTTAATTAGTACCCAATTTTCAGACTTTTTAAATCTGGTATCAAAAGCCAAACAACACTGGTTTATTTGCGCTCTGATCCTGTTCCCCTTTCTCCCTTTCTGGTGAGGAAAGCATGAGAAAGCTCAAGAGTAGAAAGCAGGACACCCAGAGTCTCTGCCATCTGACTTATTGTCCCTGGCACCTCAATCACCCAATGTGATTGAATAAAAGGTTGACTGGACACCCATTAGTGTCTTTCCAGTTTAACCAAACAATAGTTCATCTGTTTGACAGAATCTGTAACTTTCCAGACAGAGTGAAGTTTAACAAAGAAGTGATAAACAGTGCAGAAGCACAATAAGCATCTGGTGGGAGAGCTGCTGAGACCCCTTAAAATACAAAAGAACCTGTATGCCAGACAAAGTTTTCTTGAGAGCACAGAAAGGAGAAAATAAAAGCTCTGCTGTACATCCTGGCTGCAGGTACAGCCAATGGACACAAACTCTAGACAGATGAGCAGTTTCTCCACGTTCCCCTACTCTGGGGAATGAAAAAAAGCGCCACCAAGCAGTAGTCTGGAAGAAGGGTGTTTCCTCCTTACCTAACCTCTTGGAGAACAAGCTCATCTAACCAGCTAGCTAGATCTCCTAGGTGCTTAAAACTGGCCATTTCAAAAGACTCTCACAATAAGCAACTCTCAACTGCATTCTTTCACTAGCCTGCGCAAAGTGTTAGCACCAAACAGAATGTATTTTTACTGAAGATTCCCAAACATGTCACTCACTTAATGATGTCATCAGAAAGCACTAGTCCCTCCAAGCTGAGGTTCTGCAGCCTTTCACACAGACAAAGAATACTCTGGAGATCTGCAACAGACACTGTGGAGTTTGACAAATCCATATGCTGAACTTTGAGAGGTCTAAAAAAAAAAGGAAAGAAGCAGGTTACTACAATTGCATTAAGATCTGCTTCACAAATTCCCCATATCATGAATATAGCCTGTACACTAAAACTGTGCAAATCTTGCGGAAAATTATACTGTTGTATTCAGCTGCACACTGGACATAGTAAGCTCACTGGACCTACTGCTAAGCTACCAGACAAAACTACAGAACTCATTTTCAAGGCATTTACAGGATTTGTCATAACACCTGAAAGTCTATACTGCTGAGTTAAATAATTTTTTGAGTTTCCCCATATAAAAATGCTGGAGATGCCAACAACTCTAGATTATATAAATTGCAAGGGGATGATGGTGCTCGATACTTCAAAAAAATCACATTAACTTTGCTTTAAATAACGAAGATGAATGCAGATCCTCTTATTTCAACACATGATCAGCTCTTCCACAATCCAGAGACAGCACAAATGCTACTACTGGTGGAGACCTTAAAACCAAATACACAGAGTAACTGTGAATGTTTGAGATGTGGTTTTAGGATCCAGAACATGCAAAAAGTCTTACTTGTTTGTTTTAAACAATGGATTCCAAATACAAGATCTTGAGCCCTGAAATACAGTAACACCTGCAGGCAGCAACAGTCCGATCACTCCTGGCAGCAGATTTCTACCAGACAGATCAAGAGTCTGCCAGAGAGATTCGTCAAACCTAAGGTACAGAATTTTACTTGTTAGTGAGTTAGAAAGGGTCAGAACTATGAGTACAACCACAGAAAGTTTTCAGTGTCACAAAAGACTGACAGGAGGGAAAGCTATTTAATAGAATTTACTTCTGTTAAAATATGTGAGCCACCTTTTGATTATATATACAAGTAACCCACATTCAGCATAAACTGAATTATACATGAATAAACAAGATGAGAACCAGATCATTTAAGAGCCTATGGAAGCAAAGGTTTTTGTAGTACTAAATGAGAAGTAATACTTACGAAAGACGGTGCCATCTCTTGCAAGTCAGGGAAACATTTATCAAGTCTTTTAGCGGCAAGTATGCAAAGACTGCCAAAATCAATTCATCTGGAAGTGCATCCCAAGAAAAACCTTCAGGGAAAAAGCAAATATGTTCTCATTAAAGCTGGTTCATTTTTGTCTGCTGATCAGATGCCTTGTTTGTCTTGGTTGTTAAAAGCACCTCTGCAGTCTCTCTCTAGGCTACACAGACATAGCCCACTACACATCTCCCTTTCAGCTTTTCATTGTAGGAAGATATTTCCATCTTTGCTTATGTATGCCAACACAAAGCTTTCCATAACATCAACTTAGTATACATACTAAAGCTACAGAAGAACAGTTTTACTGAAAAAATTATAATAATCTTTACTCACATACTTATTTTGGAAATAAGAGCATCTCTGTTACTTCCTTTGTATTCTGAGGCTTGTATGGTCCTTTTTTTTCCCCTTGCTGAAATGCCCATTCTTCCTATGCATGTCAGTCTCCCAGAGAGGAGCCCAAGGTGAACTATGCTTTTGCACAGTATATGGGCAAAAGTAGGAACTGCAAACTGTTCCCTGAAACATGCACACTAACTACAACCCCCCAAGAATTATCTGAAAGGATGTGGTGTGATCTCAACTTCTCACAAGTGGACACAGGGGTCCAGAAGGTGTTGTCATTCACATGGAAGACTTCTGGGTGGTGGAGCTCAAGAGCAGCTAGCTGCCTATGACCAAGTGCTCTACCTTACTTAAAAGCAGGACTGTCTGAGGGCATTCCCACCTTTCATATCACAGCCTAGTGTCTGCAGAGAGCTGTTTATTTTGCATTCTGTGGTTGCTGCAGACTGGAAACACATTTGCAGACCAGGAACCCAGCATCCTATAACCCCTTCAAGGGCCACAGGTCTTCAGGTTACAGCCCTCCTTATTCCCTGCCAGTCCCTTTCCAGCCCGGGAGCCTTACACCCTTTGCTGCACCTTCCCTGTAGCTCTCTGGCAGGGTACCTTGCATTGCTCACAGCTCAGCTCCAACAGGAGTGGAGATGCTGCCCCTTCAGCATAACTCAGCCTGTGGATCTCTTTAGTCTCAAGGAACAAGTATCTTACTTAGATGCTTAAGTAAAAAATAATCAAGCCCCCCAAGTTTCAAAATTGGGACAGCAGCACCAATAGTCCACATTCATCTGGCAGCCACAGCTGTATTTTGTGAGGAGCTGGCCCCACCTGGTGTTGGTGGAACATCTCCTGGAACAGGTCCCTGGGGCTCAGCAAGAGGCAGCTCAGGGCTGTGCTGGGCCAAGGTGCCACCCAGTTCTCAAGCAGCAGGAGCAGACAGACACAGGGACATGCAGCACAACCCCCCAGCACACAGACAGGGGCTGGCAGGGCTAGTCAGGAGCCAACCATGGCTTACATGGGCCACAGTCCTGGAGCCAGACACCCTTCTGCCTAAAGGCTTACACCAAATAGGACTTACCAGCCCAAGCCTGAGAGCCACTACTAGATCTAGAAGTTACATTCTGCTGGGATAGAGTAAAAAATGCAAAGAATGAAGCACTAATGACTTGTGATGCCCACTTTCCATCTCTGCTGAAGGGCAAATGAAACCTGGACCAGGGCCGCTGTACCTGACTCTGCCTCTCGGAGCAGCCGAGGCCGGCGCACAATGGCAAAGTCTTCCAAGTCGTTCACCTTCTGCCGCTTCTGAGGAGGACAGGGCAACGACAGCAGCAAGTCCTGAGGCGTGTTTTCATTGCCCAGATCATCCTTCTTAAGGGTAGACACTCCCATGGCAGATAGACACCCCGAGGTCTTGGTAGACTCGCCATCCCTGGAAACATTGGTGCTGGAGGATGGGATCTCCTGGAGGTGTTTCCTGCAGACACAGCAAACCCCACAAGCTCTGAAGGCACTGCCAGACTGAGATCAAGCACAGGATGGGGCTGCTCGTACGGAAGCTTTTCACAGTCACGCATAATCCACATCCCCACGCAGGACAATTAAGCTTTGGATCCGTGGGCGCTAGAAGCACAAG